GGGCGGGGTTGGGCCGGCGTGCCGCTTGCCGTCGCTACCGTCGCCGCCGCCCTCGCCCCCAAGCAGCTTGCGGCGGTCTGGAGCGCAGGTACGGGGGGGGGGAGGCACCGGAGGGGGGCAGATATCCGCGTCGGGGACGGGGCAGTTCGGAAATTGATGGTCAGCAGGGGATGCGTCCTTGAGCAGGTTTTGACCATCCAGAAAGCACGAGGGACCTGACCAGAGCTCTTGCGACGGACGATGGAGGGCTTTCCACAGCAGGTGCGGAAGTGCAGCTGGCTGCCAAAGCCAGCTGAGCACGTTGACTGCGTGCATGCGCAACGCCCCCTTGTACGAGCGCCGGACAGCACAATTGCTTTGAGCAACTTGATTACCCTAGCACACGTGTGCACGAGACATGTGGCGCACGGGCAGCAATGCCAGGGCTTGCCTATAGCTGCACTCACCCCTGCGGCCCAGCTCTGGTTTGTCAGCAATCAGCTTGCAATGGCCTGCGGCAAAGTGATGAAAAACGCGCAGGCAGTGTGAGTGGAGCTCATGGGGCCCCACGGGGTAACAGGCTCGTAACCCCCCTCCCGGGGGGGGGCTGCAGGGGCGCTTTGTATGGGCATCCAATTGCTGCAGAAAGGTACGTGGCAGCGTTGTAGGCTAGTGCATGCCCTGTCGCTCACACGGTCTTGCTTGCATACATAAACACATTTTTGGCCCGGTCCCTCGCTCCGCTGTTGCATGCAGGCTCAATGAGAACCTGACCGGAGCATCAAACGCCACAGCTGCTGTGCAGAGGCCAACCGTCGCTCTCACCGCCCTGCTTGTCGTCAGCCTTGACGGGGCCCCCCCTCAGCCACTCCGGGGGAATGTGGCCGGGCACCGGGTGCACCGGCAGGTGGGGCTCGTGGAGCCAGGGCTTGCCAGGGTAGCCGGGGTGGCCGCCCTCCGGCTCGTGGGGCTGCCAGTAGCCCTTGGGCGGCTCCTCGCCCTTGGGGGGCTCTTGATCCTTTGGGGGCGGCTCCTGGCCGTTGAGGAGCCTGCGGTCGGCTGCGGGAGGCGGGAGGAGCGGGGGAGGGTGGGTTTCTGATTGACCATGAGGGGGAACAGGCCACCCGCGGGCAAGCGGCCACCGCGCACACAAGGGGGCTAGCGCGCAGGAGGTCCCCTCACGACAAACCAACTGGAGCGGCGATATGAAAATGAGAGTCTTGCCCCCGCCCCCCAGATAACATGTGATGTGGCCGTGGCAGACAAGCAGCGGGGGCGCTCGAGTGGTGAGTCGGCGCAGCAGCCGGCGCACCCTGCGCCTGTGCCGCGGCGACGAGCGCCAGCAGCAGCAGGGCGATGCGTGCCGCCCTCATTGCGGCCGGACCGGCGACGGACTGCGATCGGGAGGGGGGAGGCACAGGATGTGATGCAGGCGGTCAGCAACGAAAGTGGGTATGGGGAACGGCGCGGCGCGGCAAGCGCGATGCAACATGGCTCAATCCCCAGTGCAGTTCCCTTCAGCCACCTGGCAGTGGCGGCCTCAGAGCTGGGTCGGCGGCGGGTCGAAGCTGGGCTGTCCCGGCGTTTGAAACGTTTGGGCGCGAGTGCGGGCCCAAGAGGGGTCACTGAACTTCATAGGCCGAGGGAGTACCCTGAGCCCTAAACCTCCACCTCGCAGGAGTCGATGCCGATGTCTGAGGTTGTCCGAGGTGCAGGCCTCAAAACCATGCAGAACGCGCCCGATGTCGAGCTGTGCAGTGTGCAGCAGCGACATGAAAACGCAAGTTTCCTTGGAAGGCAAGTCAGTTTGACGGCGTTGATCGCGTCGGGTGCGCCCGCGTGACAGTTGGGCAGCAACAGAAGCGCGTCCGAGGTTTCAAGGCGACCTCAACTGCCTTGTCGTCCTGCACATGCTTGGGGCTGCACCCTCCTGAAAACTACCTCCAAGCTGATATCAGTCGCTGAATTTCAATATTCAATCAACTTACAACTTGATTGTTTGCGCTTGTGCAGAGGTCAGATCACAGTCACTGCACCCAGGTCTACAATCCCCAAGAGACACAAGTCACACCCATGCACCCCCAAGGTGTCAATGGCAACCATCACAGCTGCAACCCCGATTCGGTCCCCAATCCTCAAGATTTCTCGATTTTGGTGACGCAGAATGCCAGCTGGCCGCGTCCAAGAGGGTCAGCCCTTGACCACACCGTATTCGAAAAATTCAAAAACACCAAGGCAGTGCCAAAGTTGGTTGTTCAGTATGTTTGTTCGGTTTGCAGGCTTGCGTGTGTTTTTGTCCCGTCGGGGTGGCCAGTGGGGGTCTTTGCAGTGAATCATCTGTTGCGGACATCCAGTGACCGCACAGCCGGCCAAGTGGGGGTTGGGTGGGCGCTGCGCAGTCGGCCCTTGGTCACGGGCACACAGCGACCGCAAAGCCGGCGAGTGGGGGCCTGTGCGGCCAACCAACCATCTGTTGCGGGCGAACAGCGCAAAGCCGTCAACCCTCCGTCAAGGACAAACGGTGACCGCGAAGCTGGTGGAAGTCGGGCAATTGTGGAGGCCCGCCAGGTCATCATACGCGAAGCTGTAGGCCGTGGGGCAGCTCTGGCGCACAAGATTGACGTACTTTGTGGTCACTACCGGCCCCGCCCTGCACTGCTGGGACGAGATGGGGGGCGTGGGGCAGCACATGTCGATGCCCGGCGCCTGGGTCTCGGGCTTGCCCAGGCCGTACCTGCGGGGGCGGGCAGTGTAAAGGGGAACGGAGGGGAGACGCGCGATGTCACAACCTGATGACGTGTAATATGATGAGGAGACATCATGCAGGGGCAGCGGGACGACCTGCAAGAAACTGCAGTCAGGCAGAGCATATTGCAGCCGCTGCTGGCCGTGCTTGCCCGCAGGTGTAATCCTCGTGCCCCGCCGCGCGGTGCTGCCGGTCCCGCTCGAGAGGGCCGCCGCCCTCCCCTCGCCGTCGACTCACGGCGCGGGGTAGTTCCAGCGCTTGCAGGGGGACAGGCAGGCCACAGCCTGCCCGCCGACGAAGACCCTCAGATCTCCTAATCCGGCCGCCTCGTCCTGGGGGCACCTGTCCAGCCCCAGGGAGCAGGTAGTTGCCGTGCAGCTGCCCGACTGGGCCCCGCTGGGCACGATTCGCATGGGCAGGCTGTAGCCGTCGACCAGGCTGACGTCATACCACGACACACCAGTAGTCGCCGCGTCCGAGAAGAAGAACTCGACCTTGGTGTCAGCCGGCGGCTGGCAGCCGGTGGGCGGGCAGGGCGGCGATGAGTCACCGAAGGCGCAGTTGGTGCCAGATCCGTCGCAGCCGCCCTTGGGCCAGAACCGCCCGGCCCATCCGGCGCTGGGGATGTTGAAGGCAAAGGATTGGCCCGTCGCGATCTGGGCGGGGCTGCCGGGCAAGGGGCTGACACCGGCGTTGGGCGCTGACATCATCCAGACGGTTTTGGGGCAGTTGTTGGTGAAGGTGATCTGGCGCAAGCTGGTGGTGGGCAATGGTACTGCGGGTGGACGGGGAAAGGGGAAGGGGGTGGGCGAAGCTTAACACGCGGGTGAGGGGTGGCTCCTGCTGATTGCGAATATGTGTGACGCGCGAGCCTCGTGACTGGGCACACGCATGCAGTGGCGCGTGCACACACACGCGTGGATGATTCACACCGGCGTCGGCAGTCAAAGTGCGGCTCACCGCAGCCGGTGCGCTCCGTGTTGGCGGCCTGGCCGCGGGGGCACTGGGTGCACTGGGGGTTGCCGGGGGTAGAGCTGTAGGAAGTCGCGCCGCAGGGCGGGCACGCCTCTGTTGGCAGCACGCCCGTGCCGGCCGTGCCGGCCGGGCACGGCTGGCACGTGCCTGAAGGCCCGCCGCTGCCGGCGGCGCAGGCGGCTGGGGCAGTGTTGGTCGTGGGTGGCCGCGAGTGCGGATGTGAGACACGTTTCAATCAATTGCGAGGATGGATCAGCAGGGACAGAGCAGGCCAAAGCCACAACCAAGCTCATCTGAAAGGCTGAAGTCCCCTGCTGGTCAAAGCAGCCGCCAAAGCTTGCAAATCGCGCTGATGAGCGCCTCTCAGCAGTGGTCACTACCAGCTGGGCAGCAGCAACCACCCCCAGCTTAAGGAATGAAACAGCGGTGCGGTGAGCTGGGGCGCGCCCGATGCGGCTTTGTGGGCGGCTCGCTCGTTTGCATAGCTACGCACCTGCCGCGGGGTTGATGCTGCTGCTGATGCAGCAGGGCAGCTTCTTGGATTTGGGCTGCCCCTTGAGGCGCGTCGTGGTGGTGGTGAGGTTGGCTGAACAGGCCGCGCCGCCGCACAGCGCCTCGAGTGTGCTGCACAGGCCGGGAGCGACTGCGTGCGGGAGGGAAGGAATTCGGCGGGAGCCGCGGGATTTGACCAGGATTTTGCTGCTTGCAATGAACTCAAGGAAAGATGTATGTGCACTGCCGGTCGCTTAGGCAGCGACTGTGGGCAGCAGAGCCTCTCGGGCAAGCGGCGCGCTGGCCTGTGAGGCTCGGGCGCTGCTAGTCACCTCATCTTCTCAATCGTGCTGCCTCTGGTTGCCAACTTTGAACCCACCCAGCAGCCGCTTGTTGGATTGACTCATGTCCATTCAACCGCCCAGCGCCCGCGCCCCGCCTGCGCATGCCAGCGCGCCGCGCGGCCCTCCACCAGCTGCCGCCCTCAGTCAGCGCGCCAAACTCACAGCGCGGTGCTTCCCCTGACTGCGCTTCGGATCTCTTTTCCAATCTCGCTTCCCATCTTGCTGCTGCTGCTGCTGCTGGTCGCGCCTCTCATCACGCCTCTGACCCCGCGCACCTGGCAGGTTGACACAGACCTCCAGGGAGGTGAGGCCCCTCGCCGCCTTGCGGTCCAGCGACACCCTGAGGCTCGCGGCCGCGGCCTTGGATGCTTTGCGCACGCTCCACCCCACGAGACTCTTGGCGGAGCTGCCGTTTCGCAGAGTGAATGTGATGTTTGAGGTCAGGCCACCGACGATGCACTTGGGGTCTGTGTTTTGGGCGGTTGAGGTGGAGGGCACGCGCAAGAGGAGGGCTCGTTCAGCGCTAGGGGATGGCAACTGTGTTTGGGAGCAGAACAAGAAACCAACAGGTCTTGGAGGACGGGGGACCCTTGCAGCATGTCTCGCATGATGGCAGCATGTCCCGCGTCACCACTGCAGGGCGCCCGCCTGGCGCCACCGCCGCCCGCCCACCGATCTTGATGGACGCCGTCGTAAGCCTGAACGCGTCGCTGACAGCTTGGCAGCAGGCCTCTGCGGCGCCGCAGGGCGCCTGGCCAGTCACCGCGAAGCAGTACCGGTTGAACGGTACCTTGGGCTTGGGGCGGATGTTAGTGTCGTTGATGTTGAGTATGCTTGTTGAGAAGCGGATGTCGTAGTTTGTGGTCCCGGAGGTGGCGTTTCCGGGGTAGCAGGGCTGGGCCGTGGCGGCGCCTGGGAGGGCGGGTGCGGGCGGGTGCAGCCGGGGGCGGCCGGGGACGTGCACTGCGTGAGCAGTTGAGATGTCTCGGGAGCGGGGCCGGAGAGGGGGCCGCGGGGCAGGGTTAGCGATTCACATGCGTGATGCGTAGGTGGTTGCTCATACAGGGTGGGTTTCATAGCTTCCCCACCTACATGCGACGTGCAGCGTGGGCGCGAGAGGCGCCATGCTGGGTGGGGACGGCAACTGCCCGGGCCCTGCTCTCACCTAGGGCAACGGCCGCGACAAGAGCCACGAGAGCTCTAGCTATTGCAGTACGTGGGTGGTGCAGGTCAAACCTCTTGGCCGCGGCCATGGTGCCCGCTGCTGGTACCTCAGCTGAAGTGAGCCACGCCAGGTGGACCTGCTGCAAGAGCAAGAGAGGTTCGCCGGGCGGTGCGGATCATGCGTCATCAGATGCATTCACTCCCGGGCTTCAGATGGCGTCCTACGGCCTGTTGCAGCCTACAGCGGCCGGCCTGATGCGTTCCCTCCGAGCAGGCGCATGCTGGGCAGCAAGGGCTTGCGACTCGGCAGGTCAGGGTGGCCTGGGCCACAAGCATCAAATTTTCAGCAATTTTACCTGCACGACGGCTTACACGGCGTGATCACGTCAAGTCGGTGACCGCTTGTGGTGGCCGCTGGCTCACTTCAGCCTGGCGGTGGGCTTCAAACAAATCCAAAACCGAACGTTCAATTGCAGGTGCGGGCCGCCACCACACCCCCACAGTTGCAGTGGTGGCGAAAGTGCAACGTTCCGCGCAAGCGACAACTCGCCGCTGCGCTCGCGGTGCGGAACTGCCAGACCAGGCATCTTCCGCATCACCGTACGCCGCAGCACTTGAATGTCTGGCGTCTGTATCCAAACCACAGCGGCTTTCAGCGTTCAAAGTAGTCTGATCTTGCTGAGGAGCGTTGACTGCCAGGCAGCGCCGCGCTGGGAGCGCCTGCAGGGTCAGCGGGGGCCCCTCACACCTGGCCAGCTGTGCGTTACAGCCCAGCCCCTGAAATCTACCCTACTCAATTTAGCAAAAAACTTGATGTAAAAGCCTGCACCGCCCCTGTGTAAAGGTGGACCTGGATGAGGGAAAGGAGCCAGTTCTCCCAGTGTGCAGCCTGCCTTCCCCCCTTTGCCCACCTCACATGAAACTCCCTGAAGCACCACAGTAGCCGCCCAGGAGAAAACATGTTTTGATGCTTAAATCACAGCCCTGGATTTTGCCGAAACAGGAAGGGCCGCACCACGCGCGGCTTTGCCGCAGACCAAAGCAGCGCGCCGCGGGCAGCAGGCACAGGTTAGCACAGGACTCACATCCGCCCACGTCAGGTACGGCACACCTTCAGACAATTCAAGTATCACAACACCAAAAAATCTGGAAACAGAGAAAATTCTTGACAGCACAGATGCTTCAACAACACACAGGGGGGGTGCGGAAGGGGCGCAAGGGGGGGGGGTGTCCGCCCCTTACCCTATGACACTGGCACGATTTGCGCCAGCTCAGCAACCACCTCTGCAAACCGCGGCCGGGCCCCGCCCACCGCCGCGCAGCGCCCCGCCAGGCCCCGCAGCACGGCGGCGCTTGTGGTCTCTGCAGCCCCCCCTTCAAGGCGTGCCACCAGGTCTTCCATGAACAGGCCAAAGGCGCGGACCTGTTTGTGGAGCATAAGGGCGACAGAGCAGCACATGTGATCAAAACAACGGCCATGACAACAGGCAAAAGGATGAAACAGTGCTGCGAGAGTGTTGCTCAGAGATGGGTGAGAGCCGTCCTGCAACGCGGCAACAGGGTTGGCCACCGGACTCCCATGCACCCAGCAGCACAGCCAGGCCGGCTGCGTCTGGCTCCGGTGTGAGAGCGACCAATCACTGGATGCCCGCCCCGCCCACCTCCATCAACTCCCAGAGCTCTGACTGTCCCTCGTGGTAGCAGAAGGATGCGCCTGCGACGCGGCGCGGGCCCAGCAAGGGTTAGGTGCATCGAGTCGCGCCACGGCAGGGGCAGCTGGGGCGACCACATGCCCAGGCGCGCCCTCAGACCTGCACTCGCCCAGACGTGCAGAAACCCGCCTGCCGGACAATCCCGCAGAGCAGTTACAGATAAAAACTGTCGTGGCTCATGGCTCGAGCACCCACCAAAGTCGCAGAGGATGGCTTGGTGGGTCTCTGGGCAGTACAGGACGTTGTGGGCGTACATGTCTCCGTGACACACGCGCCGCGCGTGCAGGTACGCCAGCGCGTCCGCCAGGCCGCGGCAGATGCTGCAGACCGCCGCCAGGCTGTAGCGCGCGTCAGCAGGCCACCTGCAGGCGCGACGGCGGCCGGGTCGAGCGCCAGCGGGGTGGCGGGCGTGGGATGCCCGGTAGGAGCTGCGGTCGACTTGCCATTCGGGGTGGGTGGCGGACGCACACGACTATCCCTCCTCTGTGTTTGTTCAAGGCTTCATGGAGGACGCTTCAGCCTCTCCATCCCTCTCCCGTTTTGTGCAGCTTCTGGAATGCCCGTCCCCCGCCCCGCCCGCGCCCGTCCCCCGCCCTGGCCTACTTGCAGCGCAGGAGGTGCTCCGACGTCGGCTTGGCCGCCAGGGGCTTTCCCGCCACCAGGTCCTGCACCAGCCCCCGCGCCGCCTCGTGCGCGTGCGGCCCCTCCTCCTCCCTGCCGCCGCCTGCACCGCCGCGCCCCGTCCCCGCCGCCGCCGCTGCCGCCGCCGCCACTCCCGGCGAGCCTCCGGCTGCGGCGGGGG